AAAAAAAAAAAAAAACTGGAATTTCCTTCATGCACTTCGCAGTTCTCGAGCCGTCCCTGCCCCACCACATCCTTTGAAATTCCCTGCTCTGACAGAGCAATGACATTGCCTTTGCTTTCTGTTTACTAATTCCAATTTGCACCCTTGCGCGCACGTACGAGACATTCTAGTAAGCTCCCCTTCACGGATCTGCCATCCGCAGAAGCGAGTATGAGGAATGGCTAACGGTTTCGATGGGGGGGCATCCGTTTGATACGAATTCCAGCTTCGAATTCTTCAGATGACCAGTGAAGACTGAAGATGAAATGCCACCTGTTGCAGCAGTCGCCTTAGCCAACTGAGCGGTGGTTTGTATTCTAGTAAATTCTTGTGACGCCAAAAGCCCTCCCAAGACGCACCTTCTGCAACCGTTCCGCGTCCTTACGCGGCCCGGGGCGTCCTCAAGTTTTTGACATGCTGCGAATTTCTGCTTCCGCGAGGCTTCCGCAAAGCACGGTTACTGATGGAAAACTTTCGCAGCACCTTCCACAACCCTGCAACGATGCTATCCCCTTCCACGCGGCGTACATTGTTGAGATTGAGCCGGAGTTACGTTGCTAGCAATTTGACTGAAGACATGCGGAAGAAACGCTGTTGAACTGTTTGCTATAGTTTGCTCAATTGCCCAATCACCATGGACGGCCCCCAAACAAACAATACTCTCAGAGGGAAGCGACAAGAAGATGGAAAGGTTGCGGGTGTCGAGGCAAGTGGTCTCGTGGTCCGTGACAACCAAGGGCCCATGCTCTTTCGCTGGAGTTTAGCGCATTGTCTGTTCCAAAACAACCAGCAGCTGCTGGCTCCTGGGCGCCAAGATGAGTGTTGACCGGGATCTGAAGCCGTGTTTACGGGCAGCTTGATTTGTCACAGGCTCTGTATAGATTTGGCCAGCAAAAGCATTCGAACCTCCGTTCGAAGTTTCGGTGAGTCCCAAAAATCATGCTTGGCTGCAAAACTCGTCTACCCCAGGCACATGGTTCTGTTAACAAACTCAGGATTCGCAGTTGCTATGGCTTTACAAGGATATGCAAGGTAGTCCCTTCTCAATTTGCAGCATACTTTCCACGAAAGACACCTGGGTGATATTGGGTGATAATTTCACGGTGGCTCTCAAAGAATTGGCATGCGTTGTCCCTAACATGTCTAACGAATGTTCCCCTCTCAGGTATGTGCTGATTCCAGGTTGCAAATTCCCAGGGATACATGCGGAAACGCACAGCGGGTGGTTCTACGGACACCTCCACTCTTTACATTTCAGAAAAGGAGTTGCTGATTCAGAAGCACATCGGCAGGCATCATGGTGAAAATCAGCTGCTTGCATCTCAGGAATTCCGAAATGACATAGCGCATGAAGAAAAGTGAGCTAATAGATGGAACTGACCCTTTCGTTGCGCACAAGCTTGCTTGATTAGTCGGAAAGAAATTTGAAGGAGAATCTCGGAACACAATTTATTCGGAGCCAGATGCGTGTCAACGCCGCAAACCAGATGCAGCAGCACAGGAAGACTCCGGGAGGGATTGCTCACCGTTGCTCGAAAATTGGAGTACGAAGAGAGGACAAACGTAGCTTGCCTTCTGGCAGGTGAGAAATCCGACTCACTGGAGGCCGCGCCGACAGCCACCTTCGCCTGAGCAAAGTGTCTGACTCATGTTCGGAACACTCGCCAACATCGGGTTGTGGGATAGGGTAGGAGGAGGGGGTTGGGGGAGGGGGGAGGGGGTGGGGAGGAGAGGGGGGGTAGGGAGGGGGGGGGCCGGGTAGGGGGAGGGGGAAGTGGGGTAGACTCGCCAACGTTCGCTGAGGTGCTGACGGCACGGAGTCTGACAAACAGCTCCGAGATCTGCCGGCGCAGCTCCTTTCACGAGCCCACATACGCACCGCACACCTGATGACGATGCGAATTTGGGCAGCGTCCTCCTTTTCTGCATCTGTCTCCTGGCTGATTGTCGCAAGGCCTACGTCTAGTCTGGCATGCAGGGCTCACCTCATCCTCGCTTTCCTTCATGTGTCGCTCCTTGAACTCTGCGAGTCAACATGCTCAGAACAAATCCATTCACGTACGTTCAAGCATATTCAGGTCTCAGACGCGGTAAGCTCAAGACGCAAACCCAAGCTCCAAATCGACTTCGTGCCTTCATTGCCTTCCACTACCAGCACGTACTCCAAATGCTACATGCGGCCCGCTGGCGCGCTTGCCAACTATCCATCTGAGGCAGTATAAAGCCAAAAGCAGTTCAAGTAAGTTCGGTCTGGGCAAGTGAGAGTCTGCAAATACCTCTTATCTGAGATCCACCTGAGGTCGGTGCTTCTTCCTGCTACCCACCACACTCACTTACAGAAGTCCTCAAGCACACAGCGTGCCTTTCGCAGCTCCTGGTGCTCTCGCTTTAATGCCTGCGATTTCCACAGCTGCATACACTGGGAGCCAGTGACCATGGCCGTCCTGTTTCTCCGCATCCGGACTGCGTGCGGCCTTCACTAATTCAATGTTGTTTGTGCGAATCAAAGGCTTCGCATTCGTCAGACTACAGTTTCAGACATGTGCTTGAAGTAGGGACCGCAAGATTTGTTTGCAGAATCGCTAAGTTTGCAAAGCGCAAGCTCAATGATGACTTGCGAAAGTCCAAGGCGTTGCAAGGACTTGGCTTTGTACGCTTGCGGCCTGCATTGATCGTAACTTCTCCTGCATGTCAGTGACTGCTGGGCTACCAGTGCTCACAGAAGGTACTTCCCTTCCTTTGCTCTGGCTCTAGCCTTCAGGTCCTCCACATTGGCTTCCAAAGCCTTGACATCCAAACTACACATTCGGCGGCAGAGAACAGGCGAGGTGCTGCCAAGGCAGCCTCTTTCTCCTCATCCCACCGTTCCCTTTCAGCTTGTACCTGCTGTGGCCACGGCAGAACTGCGAACGTTAACACGTGGGGATCCCAGCCAGGGCTACGAAACCTAGGTCTTTTGTCTATGGAAAATATGAAAAAAGTATGAAACCACCATTTCACAAAAATGTGGGAGACATGTAAAATATGAAGGCCAAAGGCTTGCAGTTCCTCTGCCTGAAGCATTTGCATCCAAATACTTGGTTATATTTCCGGCGGGTCACGAAACATGGAAAATATACAAAGCCGTGCAAAGTATGGAACAAGATAGGAAATATAGAAAAACAGGAAACCTAGAAACAACAAAAAACAAAATAAAATGAAATGCAGAAAGCGCAAACTGACATGAAACAATCTGAAAAGCATATGGCGAGGGCCTACATCAGCCTTCCGGGGGCCAAGAATCCAGCTCAGGAGTCTTTAGACGCCATGTTTGCAGCCGTATTGATCGGCATATTGGACAAATTGTGGTACTCACATTTCAGATGTCTCATGGCCATAGTTTATACATATCTTTCCATAAAACACTGAGGTACAATAGCTGCGTGGCCCATGATTCCCTGGTGGCCAATGATTTCGTCTTAATAAGACTGCATCACCTATGCAAGACTTCTGCAAAGCAAAAGTGCACGCGAGCAGGCTTGTCTCTAGCGCAATGTCTTCAAAGCAACAACTATTGAAGTTCTTTTCCAAGGCCCAGTAGCCAAAGCCACAATGGAGTCGACTGATGTCTTGCCCTGCAAGCAAGGCTGATCTCTGCGAGGCGCCCCACAGCTGTGCAAAGCTACACTGCTCCTACCCTGATCGCACACGCACTCATGTCAGCAAGCAGTTCTGCGCAAATTGAACATTCGACCAAAGAGCTCTCTCGTAAGTGGGTGTGGCAAAATCAAGGAGCAGGACTTATACAACAGCGCCTTCTTTGCAGCAGTCTCTGCTGCCAGGTACTCTCCAACATCCAGTGCGTCTGCACGCCTTTGAATTAACAAGTGTTTCCACGACTTTACTTGTCTTGACTCTACTCCCTGCAGTCCAAACAAACTCTTAGCAAGTGTCCAGTTCACAGAGGATGTGTCGCTGCCTTGTCCGCCGTCGCACAGCAGTAGACACGTCTTTGAAGCTTCGAGTCAATCTGAGATGGGAGCCAGTTCTTTGGCGCGTCATTGGCATATCCTCCTAGCAAGGTGCTTCAGGGCATCAGAGGTCTCAGTGAGAGGCGCAGGCTCATATACAGCGCTACCCAGCTTGACCCAGCCAAGCTGGTGGTTTCAACCTAGTCACTCTAGTCCAACTCACGCCTCGTCGCTGGTTGCCGCTCCCTCTGGCTCATCACACCCAGATGTGTGTGCTAACCTGGGTTTATATCATTGCAGGGCCTGCTGGTGTATGTTGTATATGGCTAATGGACAGTGATCTCGAGTTTGTTCAGCAAGCTTAGGCAGAGGCCCTTCGAAGGTTATGCGGCTGGGCTTGCGCTGGCCGGTGGTGCCATCTTTGCTTTCCTGAACTTCCTGAGTTGAAGCTCGAGATTGCAGCATTCGATATCAACTCAGCTGGCCCCACCTGGGCTTCAACCAGCGATGGATCTTGGTCAGCATCCTGCACAAGACTTCAAGTTCACAAGAGCAAATTAACGGCCGCCTCAGAATCTCCTCCAGCAGCTCAGGCTCCTCGATCACCAAGGCTGTTGTCAAGGCTCCCTCGAGGCTGCCCCTGCAATGACAGGCCTAAACAGCCGAAATTAGCATATAGTAGATTGATCTGGTCAAGCCACTTACATGTAAGAATATCCGTTTGTCAACAGGATGCCACTAGTAGAACGTCGGGAGTCATTTCCTGGACCTGGTCTGTCTCTCAGCCAAATCCACGCATTCTGCCAACAGCAACCGCAACCTTTGGCAATGATTTCAGGTAGCAGTGGGTAGCCGCTTTGTTTCCCAGGTCACGGGTGAGTAGCCTTTTAGCATGTTCTAGCACTTTTCCAGGGTAGCAAGATGCTGTGCATTGCCTGCCGAATGGGTGCTGCATTAGTTGGGCTGTCGGAGCTGAGCTGTGGTCAGCACAGCAGAGTCAGTTCTGTGAGCGAAGGGTTGGATGACGTCGCAGTGTCGTGGCATGGGAGATCATGGGAGCATGCAGTATGCTTGCGCCGAAAACCACATTGGCAACAGGATGCAACAGAAAAGGCGCACATGGAAGTCGTCCACCGCCTGCCAGTTTTCATTGCCTTTGTCACGACTGAAATGATGGCAACCACATCTACGTGCCTCTGGTAGCGAGCTGAGGGAGCCTGAAGGGACTTGTGCTCAAGTTGTAGCTCCAGACTTCAGACAAGAAGTGGAACCATCGCCTTGATCACTGGCTCTGGCGGCCTTGTCAAATTCAGTGACTGAACAACGTGGAGGTCATCCATCTATGCGGGGCCCGGACTCTGCGGCAACTTCTGTGCAAATGGCTGCCTCACTGGAAAAATCGTGCAACCAGGGCTTGCAGGTTCCAAGGCAGCAAAGGCGTGGCAAATCAAGATCATCTTCTAGGCAGGCTGCCGTATGGGAGCGCATGTATTTGGAAGCAGGGGACCTAGGCACCTTGCCAGACTCAGAACAAAGCATGACTCGACGTTTATGTGCATCTGTCAGCTAATGCCTTGCACCGATGCCATGCATGACAAAAAGGATATCTGCTCAGAAGCATTCCACTTCAGTGCACGTGTAGCATACTGTCACCAACCTGCAGAAATGCTCCACGAGCTGCTGGTCAGCAGGTGCCTGCAGCCGCTCTTGGGCACCTTCTAGCTCACGCAGGATCGCCTCCTGGATCATCTAGCCAATGACAATCACTGGAGAAGAGCAGTTCAGCTGGCAAAGCGGGCAGCAATTGAAGGGTCATCTGAGTTCCAGCGTCATGCTCGGCACTACGTTATACAGCAAGTAGATGTTCAACTTAAGTGACGAATTCACATCGCCAATGTAAACCCTCCGTATCTGCATGAGGCCTGCAAGACTACCTCAAACAACAAATCGGTCCTGCAGCGACACAATGTGGGGCTCTAAGGCGTCCCGAACCTCATTCAAAAGCCGCTCAACAAGCAGCTTCTTGTAACAGACTGCGACAAAGGGCGGGCACGCTGATTTCCAAAGGCACATTCATCGAAAATTACCAATAACTTTCTGAGTGCCTTGGCGTCTTGGAACTTTCGGAGATGAGGAAGTTGCAAATGATGGGACAACATTGAACCGACTAATCGTTTGCGATCCGCGAGGTCATAAGGCATCAGGTCAAACGCGCGCTACATGGTTAGATGGGGACAACTGCTGCGTAACATGCGTAACTTTTTTTTGCGAGCCCGTATCCGTGATGCGTGTGTGTGTGTGTGTAACACCTGTTTGCCAAGGTCCATGCATGAAGCTTAGTTTCTTTACATGTCTACACTTTTGCGGGGGGGCAATGCATGCCTGACACTCATTGCCAAACGAAAACACTGTCAGTGCACGGTGATATCTGGCCTGATCGGCCAGACGTACCTGCAGAAGACCACCCCTGTGTGGCAGATTAGAAAACCGCCCCTGTGCGGAAGATTAGACGGCCAGCGTTTCCCCAACATATCAGTAGCGCGCAGGTTGTGACAGGATGTGCGGACATGTTCATCCGCACAGCTTTTGCAGCAGACATGTCAATGCATGTCAGTACTTGTCAGTACATGTTGTGCGGACAATTGAGGACATGTTCATTGGTGGAGTTTTGGACATGTCTCAGGGCAAAGATTTTCATCCTCAATAGTTTCAGCTTGGTTTCCTGTTATTCATTGTGTTCGATTCGAGCGGAACTTCAAGAAACTTAGCCGCAATCCTCTTAATATCCATCACCTCTGAAGATTTTGAACACTGATAACATCAGCATTCAGTCCAGAGGGAGGATTGCACNNCGGCTTTCGTCTATCGTGTCGTCTACGATAAGAATGCCTATCGAGATGGCCTTAATGGGCTTTGATTTGTGATGGACCCTGATCGGTCCTGATCGGCCTGAATCTGCGATGACCTTGCTTGGTCCAATTCCAACAAATACCCTGCTCGGTAATCCAACTAGATGTCAGGCCAGAACGGCCTCGCTTCAGACACGATTCAGCATCCGCGCCGGATGTGCCCAACCGTTTAACCTTGAGACCAGGTCGGCCCCAGGCTCTGTGACAGAAGACAATCTGGAATCTACATGAATCTACCATCCTCCCCTGGACGCTCAAGAAGACAGCAACTGCTTGTTGATTTTGTAGCCGTAGCTTCCTTTCCAACTAGTATCCTATTGGAACGAATGGCAAAGCAGCGAATCCAACCAGACCTGAGCAGCTCCTGAAACCAGAACCATCAATGGACCAGCGCTGACTGGAAACGCCAAGACCAATGGCAAGAAAGCAGCCAGTAGCCTTCCAGCAGTTGGAACGCGCAACAACCAGCTCCAAGTCTTCCAACGTCATTTGCAGCAGATGCCACGCACTATGACAAAACACCCATCGGCAGAGGCTCCTATGTTTTGCATCGCAAAGTACAACCGACCGAATGGAGTCGGAAAACCGGCATTGCTGGAAGAGACATTTCCGACATCAAAGCATGGGAATTGTCACATCGAGGGCACAGTGATTTCTCGTTTAGGTCATTGTTGGAGGGCAGACATCAAACCATAGTGTGGGCGCGAAGCGGCTCGGAGTCTGTTCTCATGACGGAGTCAAGAAAATTCGAGAGAATGGCATTTCAACTGATATTGCTGCAAGAGCATGCCGCTCTGCAGCCGTTCCTGATAAGCATAAGGAAGCTATGCGTTTCATGGAACCTTTAGCTCAAGATTCGATGATGTACATCAAGGCCAAAGCGCCAGCCAAGTCTTTTGAAGCTGCGGACGAGCTTGCCAAAGCCAAAGCCAAACTGGCAAAGAATGGCATAACTATGTCCCCGGTCAAGCGCAAACGCGACCATGATTATGATTCTGAGCCTTCTCAGTCAGCCGACAAACGAGCGAAACCTGCTCTAGCGCACACTGAGCCTGAATCCACATCACGAGCTCAGCAGCTTTTTAATCGATTCTCAGCGCAAGTTGGATAGCTGCCCCAAAGGTGCTTCCAATGACCAGGTTGCAGAGTGGCTTGCCAGCCTGAAAAACAAGGCTGAGTTGAGGGCAAGCACAAGGAACTGGTTAGGTACGTAGGCACAGTCCAAGAAATTTTCAAGACCGGAACCAAAGATGAGCTGGTGGAAGCCGCAGTCAGGTTCGGCCTTTGCAGCAAACTTGCTTCACGGCTGTTAATCAAGAATCTTTCCACTTGCATCGCGGTAGCTCAATTCCAAACAGCCTGAGTAGCCTTGAATAGTCAAGATTGTGATATCAGGTAGACAGCTCAGTTGAAGGAAGACATGTGCCGCCATGGAGAGGGAACCACGTTCTTCCCTCATCACTGCCCGGGTTCCAGCAAAGCTTCAATGCTATGGGCCCAAGGCCGGCTGCATTTGCGATTGCTTTGCTACTTCCAAGAAGGCCCTCAAGCACCTTACGCAGAGAGCATTAGGCAAAAGTTGAAACGCTTTAACGCACATCCCTCGACTTACACATGGACACAGCTTCAAGCTCAGAACGCGGTGGACATGAAAACAGCAGTGGACTGGCG